GCTCAGTGGCAGAGCACTTGCCTAGCATGTGTGAGGGACTAGGTTCAATCCTTAGCACAACATAAATATAAACAAATAAAGGCATTCTGTCCATCTACAACTACAAAACATATTTTAAAAGAAAGAATACATGAGATGTGTATGTGCTTATATTATTTCTTTGTAAAGGAAGCTTCCATTTTTTTAAAAAAGATTTTTTTTAAGAGAGAGATTTTTTAAAAATATTTATTTATTTATTTTTTAGTTTTTGGCGGACACAACATCTTTGTTTGTATGTGGTGCTGAGGATCGAACCCGGGCCACACGCATGCCAGGCGAGCGCGCTACCGCTTGAGCCACATCCCCAGCCCAAGTTTCCATTTTTGTACTATTCTATTAATATCCAGTGGATAAAGTTATCTCTTCAAATCTCTCTGGGCAGTATATAAACAAGACTTTATTTTTTTTGAAATTGTCTTCTCTGTCCCAAATTTATTTTCTCCCAGGGCCATTTTTTTTCTTTTCATTTATCCTGGTCTTTATTCATATTGAATATTTTCCTCAATGTCAAGAAATCTTTGTTTACATTTAAGAATGAGTCAATACTCTTAGATTCTGATTAGATTAAAAACCCACCTTAAAAGTGGAGACTTGGGGAAGTTTCAACACTGACTGGGTATTTGATGATATTAAGGAATAAATATTAATTTTGGAGGGTGGTAATGGGTATTGTGGTTGTGTGTGTGTGTGTGTGTGTGTGTGTGTGTGTGGTGCTGGGGATTGCACCCAAGTCCTCACATGTGTTAGGCAAGTAATCTCTTGCTGAGCCTCCTTCAGCCCCTGTGGTTAGGTTTTTTTCTCCCACATGTTTTATTGGTGCATTAGAGTTATACGTAATGATGGGATTTGTTGTTACCTATTTGTATGTGTGCACAATATAACAATATATTTTGCCTATATCACCCCCTAGCTCCCCTCCAACCTCCTACCCTTTTGCATCTTTCCTCTACTGATCTCCCTTTGATTTTCATGAGACCATTTATCTTCCTTTTTCCTCTCTAGCTTCCACATATGCGAGACAACATACGACCCTAGACCTTCTGATTTCGCTTAATATCATGGTCTCTCGTCCCATCCATTTTCCTGCAAATTATATTATTTCATTTTTCTTTATGGCTCAATAAAACTCCATTGTGTATATAGACCACATGTTCTTTATCCATTCATCTGTTGATGGATAGGCTGGTTCCTTAATTTGGCTCAAATTGTGCTGCTCTATACATGAGTTTGCATGTACCAGTGTGGTAGGACGACTTTAATTCTTTAGGATAAATACTAAGGAGTGGGATAGCTACGTCATGCGGTGGTTCTGTGTCTAGCCTTTTGAGGAACCTCCATGTTGGTTTCCACAGTGGTTTTACTAATTACAATCCCACCAACAGTGTAAAATTGTTTGTGGTTATGGGTTAGTGATACATATTGAAGTATTTAGTGAAATCACATAGTTTGTGAGATTTTCTCCAACAGTGTGAGTGTGAGTGTGTTTGTGTGTGTGTGTGTGTGTGTGTGTGTGAGAGAGAGAGAGAGAGAGAGAGAGAGAGGGGGGGGGGGGGGCGAGGGGAGGGAGGGAGGATGAGGTGGGAAGACTCGGGCTTCATTTTGATCATCATTGATATTGGGTGATGAGCACTTGATGATTCATTGTATTTTTCCTTTCATTTTTACATCTTCTTGAAATTTTCCACAATAAAAGGTAAGAAAGGGAACGGCAGGATGTCATGGGGGGCCGGCTGCTGGGCTTGGTGCTACCGGCTGACCTTCATGGCTTGTGCTCTACTTGTGGGTTTCCAGGGGCAAGTCCTTCCCCTTCCAGAGCCAGGGGACCTTTCATCTGCATGTCACACCCACCCCTGGACCTGCTGGCTGTTTCCAGGAACCCTTTGAAGCCTCTTGACACCTCTCCCATTTTCTTACTGGTGGCAGATTTATGTATGTGCATATTTTAAGGTTACTATCATTCCAGTGAGTGTCTGGAGGAAGAAGACGTGTGTGTCACCCACTTGCCATCTTCTTTCTGAGAGTCCCATAAAATATTTTTAAATGACTGCATTTAAAACTATGCACGTGGTGGTACCCTTAGGATTTCCTGGTTGGGCATTTGGACCCACAGGTGTATAAGGTGACAGTGAAATTGCTGATGGGGGTGTGTGCTGGCCAAGATCTGTCCCTGTGAGTGGGACAAGCTGTCTTTCCCTCTGCCAAGTAGAGGGGGGCTGACATGGATGGGTCCGAGCCTGACATGTGACAGAGGAATGAGGAAAGGTACTTGAGAACAATGATGGTTCAGAGACCAATGATCATTACCCGATTTGGTGCCGGCCAGGTTTGCTCTGGCCTATTTGGGAGTCATGGTACGTCTCCACCGCCCACAGGTCCGCAGTTGATTGGCATTTAGCAGGATCTCATACCACATGTCCTCCGTGAGACAGCCATGTTTTTGCCAGGAGGCTCTGGGGGGAACGGCTGTGGCTGCAGAAGGGCTGGGCCCTGCATGAGGTCAGGTGAGCAGGGAGGTCTCAGATGCTGGGTAGCTTTCTCTGCTTTGGGTTCTGGTGTGACCTCACCCTCCTGGGTCTTCACCCTGGCTGGGTGATTTGAAGTAGGTTAAATGTTTGGAAAAAATAAACAGTTTGCTCAAAGGGAGGGTRTTTGAAGTCAAGATAGGAGATTGATCTCACTGGCTGGTGCCTGTCCCTCCCAAGAGCCCCAGGATGTCTGGGCTCCTGGCACTGGATACCTCAGCATCTTCAGTCCTGCACCGGCAGGCTCTTGAGCCATCAGAAGGCATTAGTGGGTGGCTGCCAGGTTGACCTTGAGTCCTTCCACCACCTGACCTGTGAGACTGGGTCACCAAGCCCTGTGTCTGGTGCAAGACTTCATTGTGCTCCTAGAATAGCATGCGATTTAAAACTTACAAGTTGCTTATTTCTGGAATTTTCCTTTTATATTTTCAGAATGCACCTAGTGTAACTGTGGGTAAGACGGGTAAGACTGTAGTAGATCTCTTTATGGAGATCTTGCCACCACTCCCACCTGGGCAAAGCTCAGGGCAGAGTGGAACACGAGGGCTTGGGGCACAGGAAGGTGCTGCAGCCACCTGGTGCAGGGAGAGCTGAAGCGAAGGGGAGGGTCCTGGAGTGGTATCTGGAGAACCCAGAGCAACAGGATGTCAGAGAGGGTGAGAAGGGATCTCAGAGTCCACTGGGTGGCTCACGGGCTTGGTGGCTCAGGGCTGTGGGACTCCTGTGGCCTCTCCTGGCCTCCATATTCATGCATAAGGCTGGGGCAAGCGGCTTCCTCAACTGAAGCCCTTTGTGGAGGTCCAGGGGAGGATGCTCACTCACCACGGGCAGAATGACTTTGCATGACCTTGAGCAGGGCTGGCCTCTGCGGGGTGTAGCCTCCAGCTGTGTTGATCAGTAAGTTTTCCTCTCACGGTCATGGAGGCATGGAACCTGAGAATGAGGTGTCAGTAGGGCTGTGCTCCCTCCTGAGGCTCCAGGGGGAGGACCTTTTCTTGCTGCTTTCTGACTTCTGGTGGCCCCAGGTGTTCCTTGTCTCAAGAATTGTCACTCTGGGGCTGGGGATGTGGCTCAAGCGGTAGCACGCTCGCCTGGCATGCGTGCGGCCCGGGTTCGATCCTCAGCACCACATACAAACAATGTTGTGTCCACTGAAAACTAAAAAATAAAAATTAAAAAATTCTCTCTCTCTCTCTCTCTCTCAAAAAAAAAAAAAAAAAAAAGAATTGTCACTCTGATCTCTGCCTGTGTATTCATGTGGCTGCTTTTCTGTGTCTTTTCGACTTATTTCCTGTGTCTTATAAGGACATTACCATTGGGTTGAGGGCCCTTTCAAATTCTGGATGACCTCTTTTCAATTCTTGCCTTAGTCACAGCTACAGAAACCTGTTTCCTAATGAGGTCCTATTCTGAGGTTCTAGGTGAACATGAACACTCTTTAGACTGTGATGGTGGGGCACTGCAGTTTTTTTATTTTTGGGTGCTGGGGATTTAACCCAAGGGTGCTTTACTATTGTGCCACATCCCCAGCCCTTTTCTTTTTAATTTTGAGACAGAATCTTGCTGAGTTGCTGAGGGCCTTGCTAAGTTGTAGAGGCTGGCCTTGAATTTGCAATCCTCCTACCTCAGCCTCCTGAGCTGCTGGTACTACAGGCATGTGCCATTATACCCATCTGGCCCTGCAGTTTTAAATAAGTAGTAGGAGGCCTCAATGAGCAAGACCTGGAGATGGTGAGTGGGAGCCACGTGGAGATCTAGAGGAAGGGCATGCCAGCAGTCAGGATGGCAGGTACAAAGCCCTGAGATGAGAGCAGAATCCTCAGAGGGAGCAGCAGCTGGCTAGTGTGGCTAGAGCAGGGCGAGGCACCCACAGATACTTCCCAATGTTTATTGTGAGTCAGGTACCAGGGTATGGGATGAGCAGAGCCCCTTGTGGGGTCTCAGACACTGAATTGGTAGCCTCAGACTTGAGAGGTTGATACCAGGCATTTGGACTCACCCAACAGGCCCAGAGATGAACAGTGCTTACCGTGTGAATGAACAAGAAGTGGCCTGGGGTGAGGGCACTGTGGCTGGCGCAGTCTTCCAGCTTGGAACAGGTGGACTTGGAGATGCCCCTGAAGTCCATGCAGGAGCCAGAACCCAGGAGCGGGCTGGGGCCGCGTAGGTGTCTGAATTGGTCAGGGGATATATATGGCCAGTCTGGAGGAGACGTTCTTCAAGACTAGGAGTCGTCAGATGGAAGTCATCAAAGGTGCTTGAGGCAGGGGTTTCTGGCCGTGGTGATGGTGACCAGGAGCTTGTGAGATAAATGGTGGGTCCCTGTCCTTGTCCTTGGGACCCCTAGAGACCTTTCCTCCCATTTCAACAAATTCCTAGGGTTTGGCTATGTCCTGACCATGTTCTCGCCTCCTTTCCCCATTTCTTCTCCCCGTACAGGAAGAAAACAGGCAGATTCTGGCCCGGCAGAAGTCAAACTCGCAGCCAGAGTCCCACGATGAGGAGGTGTCGCCGACCCCCCCAAACCCCGTGGTGAAGGCCCGCCGCCGGCGAGGGGGTGTGAGCGCGGAGGTCTACACAGAGGAGGATGCAGTGTCCTACGTCAGGAAGGTGAGGGCTCAGCCTGGGGCTCTCACACACCAGATCCCCAGGGAACCCATGGTGCCTGGGGGCCCTGGTTTCCTATCTGATCACAGATGGGAGGGGAGACGTGGTCACCATCAGGATTGGAGTCACATCATCTCTACCAGCATGAACTGAGAGCGTGTTTATGGGTTGAACTTTTGGGGGAGGTGTCTGTTTTAGGATTCTGACCGGCTTAGGGAAGGACAAGACTCACCAGGGTGGCTGGAGGGACTATATGGTTCTGTCCTGCTGCAGGCCTCTGGTGTCTCCTTAGGACATTGATCCCGACATACCCAGGATCACCCTCATGACTTCATCAAAATGTTCCTGTCTCCAGAACCCTGGCTGAACTGGGGCCCAGATTCCTGTGCTCCTCTTCTGAAACAGTTCAGGGGCACAGAGGGTATAGGCAGCGCCACTACCCACCACCAGCACCTTCTTCATCTTGCAGAATGGAAGCTGTGCTCTCTGTGTGGTCTCCTTCCTAGTGCTTAATTCTTTATGATCAGATCACAAAAACTAGTAAAAGTATGATTTTTAAAATCCATCAGACACCTTCCATCCATGGTCCCCCCTCCAAAAAACAAACAAACAAAAAAACCCCCAAACCAAAAACTCCTCAGATCTGTAATCTAAGCACAAGAAAAAGCACAGACAATCCCAAGGTGGGGATGTGACCTGTATTCATCAAGCAGGGGACTTATTTTTTTTTTCTTTTTTTTTTTATTGGTTGTTCAAAACATTACAAAGCTCTTGACATATCATATTTCAAACATTAGTTTCAGGTGAGTTATGAACTCCCATTTTTACCCCAAATACAGATTGCAGAATCACATCGGTTACACATCCACATTTTTACATAATGCCATACTAGTAACTGTTGTATTCTGCTACCTTTCCTATCCCCTACTATCCCCCTCCCCCCATCTTCTCTTTCTATCCCATCTACTGCAATTCGTTTCTCTCCTTGTTTTTTTTTTCCAATTCCCCTCACAACCTCTTWTATGTAGTTTTTTATAACAATGAGGGTCTCTTTCCATTTCCATGCAATTCCCCTTTTCTCTCCCTTTCCCTCCCACCTCGTGTCTCTGTTTAATGTTAATATTTTCTTCCTGTTCTTCCTCCCTGCTCTATTCTTAGTTGCTCTCATTATATCAAAGAAGACATTTGGTATTTTTTTTTTAGGGATTGGCTAGCTTCACTAAGCATAATCTGYTCTAGTGCCATCCATTTCCCTGCGAATTCCATGATTTTGTCATTTTTTAGTGCTGCGTAATACTCCATGGTGTATAAATACCACATTTTTTTGATCCATTCATCCATTGAAGGGAATCTGGGTTGGTTCCACAGTCGAGCTATTGTGAATTGTGCTGCTRTGAACATCGATGTGGCAGTATCCCAAGCAGGGGACTTATGAGGGATGTCACAGGCAAGAGGGGACGGAGGAGGCAGCACCACTGAATGTTGCTGGCCAGGGTCCCAAGGCAGGGGAAGGCCGTCTGAAAACTCAGGAAGTCAGAATCAGGGGTGGAGTTCAGCTACACATTGTGGACCAGGGCTGGTTCCAAAGTTGTGGCGAATGCACCTGGGTGAAGTCAGATGCCGATAGAAGGGGAACCCCGGGGGTGGTGTGGTGTCCAGTGCTGTCCTCACGACTTTTATGTGAGTAGAATCTGTTCCAAAATAAAAAAGATGCTTTTTAACACGTCTGCTAGAACTGTAGGGGCTCACGGGAACCTCGGTCCAGTCTCTCAGAGGCATCTCTCAAAGGGCTATGTGGTGTTGGACATCCTGTGCACCTGTCCCCGCCAAGCCTTCCAGGTCTGCACCACAAGCAGAGGCCTGCGTCGTAGCTGCTCATTGTTGGGGGGAGAGGGGGACGGCAGTGCTTTCCATTCTCTCAGGAACCCCTTGGTCAGCACATGGATCCAGAGCTCCTGCAGGTGGCTCTTGAATCCCCATGGGAGCAGAGGCCCAGGGTGCTGCTGATGCCTTCTTGCACTCCTGGCCCTGGCAGCCCAGATGTCTGCCTGCTCCATTTATCCCCTGTCTCTTCTCACTGTGTCCTTTCCTCCTCCCTGGTTCAGCATCACAGTGGGTACACTTCCAAGCACGACTGAGTTGTCTATTTAAGAAATATTTTTTGAGCCGTGTGCAGTGGCACACGCCTGTGATCCCAGTGGCTTGGGAGGCTGAGGCAGGAGGATTTCGAGTTCAAAGCCAGCCTCAGCAAAAGTGAGGCACTTAGCAACTCAGGGAGACCCTGTCTCTAAATAAAATACAAAATAGGGCTGGGGAGGGGGCTCAGTGGTCGAATGCCCCAGAGTTCAATTCCCCGTCCCTCTCCCAAATTTTTTTTGCTACTGGGGATTGAACCAGGGGCACTTTACCACTGAGCTGCATTCTTCAGCTCTTTTTTTGAGACAGGGTCTCACTAATTTGCTGAGCCTAGCCTCAAACTTAAAATCCTTCTGCCTCAGCTTCCTGAGTTACAGGTGGGTGCCATTGCATCCAGCAAGTTTTCTAATTTTTTTTTTTTTTAGCTTTTAAAATTTTAAACAACTGTTTATTCTTTTGTTTGTTTGTTTTTGCTACTGGGGATTGAACCCAGGGGTGCTTAACCACTGAGCCACATCCCCAGCCCTTTTTCTATTTTGAGATAGCGTCTCATTAAATTTCTTAGGGCTGAGGCTGGGGATGTAGCTCAGTTGGTAGATTGCTTGCCTCGCATGCACGAGGCCCTGGGTTCAATCTTCACCATAAATAAATAAATAAATWAATWAATTAATTAATTAAAAAAGTTGCTGAGGCTGGCTTTGAATTCTTGGTCCTTGTGTCTCACCTCCTGAGCTTCTGGGATTACAGGGGTGTGCCACTGTACCAAGCTGTGTTAGTTATCTTTTTAAAAATCCAGTGAAATGAATCAAGAAAAGACCATAACCTCACAACTGGATGTCATAGCACCTTCCAGGTGGCTTGAAAGTCCAGCAGAGCCAGTCAGCAATGATCCTAGATTCTAGATGGTGCCTGAGCCTCCTCTGGGGCCATTTTAGGTTCTTTATCTTTTATTTATTTTAAACAATTAAAAAAATTGTGACATACTCATCAAGTTACACACCGTGCCTTTTTGGAATCTTCTGAGAGCAGTCCCACATGAGAGGCTGAAGAGTTTGATTTCAAGCCATGTCACAGCCCCAGGGCCAAGCAGGAGTCTAAAGTCAACTCTGGCACCAGACCCTGTGCCCTGTCTCCTTACTCTCCTTGGCTTCCTTGCAGGTCATTCCCAAGGACTACAAGACCATGACTGCGCTGGCCAAAGCCATCTCTAAGAACGTGCTCTTTGCTCACCTGGACGACAATGAGAGAAGGTAGGTGTGGTGAAGGGCTCGGTCCCTCTCTTCTGCGGCAGCTGCTGTGGTCCCACACCTTACCTCGGGAATCACACCAGTGCCAGAACCATGGGCTCCCAAGGCAGCAATGACTTCTGGAAAATACTGTGCTGTGTGCCCCTGGTCCTGCTCAGGAGAGCTGTCTTGTCCCTGGCAGCTCCCCACTGCCACCCTCAAATCCTAGGCCTGGATGCATGACTCCCACATGGTAAGCCGGTCCTGGAAACATACCGTGGTGCCTCTTTTTGCCCTCATCATACAGGGCTGGGGCTTTCTGGGAAACTGAGGCTGTGCAAAGACGCCCCCCCACCAAACCCCAATTCTTGCAATTAAGTCAGAAAGATTTCAGACGGGTCACTCGGAGCCACAGGCAGGAGTTTATTGAAAGGATAAGAAAAAGAAAAGGAGATACCTCCAAGGAGAGAGTGGGTCCTCTCAGAGAAGAAAGGGACAGCATGCCTCTCCTGCCCCCCAGTTTTATTGGGGATCCTGGAGAAGTTTCCAGAGAGTCCTGTCCAGGTTCACCTCTTGACATTTGACTGATAGTAGGATGACATCAGACTTTCAAGTCCCCACCGCCATGACAACTCTAGGTCATTTTGGCCCATGCTGACCAGTTTTGATTGGATTCTTAATCATACATTGTTACAGATTTTATGGCTAGGAGAAATTATCCTTATCTCCCCGAGTTCCGGGATCTGGTTTGTGTAAAGGGTCACAAACGTGTCCCCCTTCAGGGTAACTTGTGTTCCTCTTATCAACATTATTTTGGGCCTGCATTTCTCTGGCAGATAACAGGTAGTTTGCTGAGGAATGTGACATATCCTGTCCACTTAAGCCAGGCAGGGCTGCAGGTAAATTGCTTTTTGGAAAAGAAAGCATGTGGGGGTCAGTACTGTGGGCCAGGATTATAGAATTATTCCCTTAACCTCCCTGTTAGGCTGACTGTTCCAGCACCTTCCATATGCTAGGACCTGCCTGGCCCTTGCAAAGATGGACAAAAATACGTACCTCACTCTTCCACTTGTCCTTGGAGTCCCAGTTCATAGTTCTCAGGCCAGGGTGGCTGAGTCTTGGTGAGTAGGCGGGAGGCCAGGATGTTCCAAGAAGAGCGATTTGTGAGCTGCAGGGGTTCAAATGCTGTGGTTGGAAAGTTGATCATAAAAATACTTGGAAAACTCAGAAATTTTTGATAAAGCAAAAAAGTAAATATGTCCCCTGACACCTGACTCCCAAAGATAATCCCTGGAGCATTTTGGGACCGTATTTAGGGTTACTTTCCTGCAAACACCCTCTCTCCACGGACCTTCACAGAACAGAATCTCATTCCGTACACTGTCATACCTTGGATGTCCTGAATCTCTTTCTCTGTCAATAAAGATATTTTAGTGTTTTTTTTAAAAAAGTCAATTTCTACAAAATTGCTATACTTTAACTGCCTTCCTACGATGGCTATTTGCATTTTTACTATTATAAACAGCCATTTGATGACCGGGTGGTCATCATTGAGTTCTTGTCCATTTATTTCTTCAAAATAAATTCCTTGACAAAGATCAAAGCATGAATAATATTTTAAAATTTACTTCTTTTTTAAAAAAATATTTTTGGTAAGTGTCTTCATTAGATCAACTGATCACGTTTTATTAAAAATTCCAGACAAAATCCAAATAACACACAATATTTAAGAAAAGACTCTTTGTTCTACTCCCCAAGGAACCACTAGCAGTGGGCTGGGATGGTCCTTCTAGGCTATTCTCTGGGTTTGCATGCATCTCTCCACCTAAGCTTACATGGGGACCGACAGTATGGTACACACCAGTAATCCCAGCAACTCAGGAGGCTGAGGCAAGAGGCTTACAAATTTGAGGCCAGTCTGGACAACTTAGGGAGGCCCTGTCTCAAAATTTAAAAAGGGGGGTGGCTGCGGATGTTGCTCAATGGTAGAGCATTTATTTAGCATGTGTGATGCTTAGGTTAATTCCCAATACTACAAAACAAAACAAAACAAAAAAATGAAGTATGCATGTGGGAATCCTTCACCCAACATCAGGGCATGCTCCATGTACCGAGCTATGAACGCTGTGCTGGGTATACTGATGATGCTCTAGGAGGCCTTCTAAAAGTGTAGATAGATCTCTTTTTTTTTTTTTTTTTTTTTTTTTTTTTTTTAGCATTTGCAGTGTTCCTTTGTAAAAATGAATCAGAGTTTTTTTCACCTCCCCCTTTGCCAAGTTCTCCTAGGTTTCTGATATCTGATGTTACAGTGTTTCCTTGAAGAGCGAAGCACAGAGTTTTTACACAGCAGACTTTCCCAGAGTGGCTCTGGGTCCAGGAGATTGGACTCTCAAATCCTGCAGGGTGTGCAAAGGCTTTTATAAAGTACATTTTTGCCATGTTTTCACCCAGAATGGCCAGTGGGCGGCCTGCAGGAGCTCTGTGTAGGGCTGAGATTCCTGACCTCTCACATTGCTGTAGAGAATCCCCCTCTGCCCACTGCTCCTGCCAGCTTGGTCCAGAGTGTCCTCTGACCCCTGAGCTTGAACCCTAAGCTTGGTCCACAGCAGCTGGTGTAGTATGGTGCAGAGCTATGGTTTAATCGATCCTTGTTGTACCTGTGACTGCCAGAATCCCAGGAAATATTACAGGGTAGGGACTGTGGCACTGAGGGGCACGTTGGGCAAGGACAGCATGCAGTCAGTCCCCTTGTTCTCTCATGCTTTCTGTGTGCTAGAAGGGTCCACATGTGGCCAGTACTCATGTGGAGCCCATGATATCCCCACCCTAGAAGTTATTTATGTTCAAGGAAACACGGAGTCATTTTCTCCGATTCCTGGGTTGTGCAGCCTCCTTGGAAGTTTCTGAACAAGGTAGTATCCTGAGCTATTTTGCTCAGGGAGAAGGATTTAGGCTCAGAGTTGTTTTTTTTTTTTTTTTCCTTTTTTTTTTTGATGGTGCTGGGGATTGAACCCAGAGCCTTGTGCATGCGAAGCAAGCACTCTACCACTGAGCTACATCCTCAGCCCTAGGCTCAGATTTAAAGAAGACTGTTCAGCAAGATCCCCCATCACTGGAGGCCAGGGGTGACCTCCCACCCTGAAGGCCTTCAGGCTCTAGTGAGGGGCAGTAGGGAGGTAGGCCTCCCAAATATACTCACAACCCAACCCCTGGGGCCTGGGGGTGCCTCCTACATAAGCATGAAAGGACTTTGCAAATGTGACTAAATCGAGGGTCCTGGTGGGAGATGATCCTGGATTCTTCAGGCATATTTTGAAAACTGTCCCATGTGTCCTTGCTGGCGGGGGGGATGGGGAGGGGCTGGGCAACACACAGAGGAGGAGGATGTGGGCCCACGCAGGCCGGGTGGGGCACTGTGGCCTCGAGTCACAGAGAAGCCACAGGAAATTGGGGGAGGCGGGAGGGCTTCCCCTGGAGCCGCTGGAGAAGCATCGCCCTGCCCACACCTGGGTTCCTACCCCCTGATTCTGATTTTGGACATCTGGACAGTTGAGAGGAAAAAATTTGGTTATTTTAAGCCCCAGTTCATAATAGTCAGGGCAGCCCTGGTCACCGGGGCTAGGTGACTGAAGTGTTGTATCTATTTTAAGTTGAATTTAAACATCCATTTACAGTGTAATTTAAGTTTAGATTTTGAATGGGTGATACATTCACATGTTAAAATTTCAGTAAGTGTAGAGTGAGAGCTCTCATCTGGAGACTGCCTGAGGACCCTTGCTTGACCCTGCTGGGCCTCCCAGGACCCTCTGTGGCCCCTCTGCACACAGACCCAAGGGCCAGGAATCACCTGTTTCATGGCTCACTGTCACACAGACCATTGGTAATGAAACTTCAAGTCCTCAGGGGAGGGGAGCTGAGTGACTGGGCCTGGGGTCTTATTGGCCCTGCTAACTCACTTTTATTTGGGGAGGCAGATGCTGGGGAACCCAAGGGTACTTAACCACTGAGCCACATCCCCAACCTATTTTTTATTTTATTTAGAGACAGGGTCTCACTGAGTTGCTTAGTGCCTTGCTTTTGCTAAGGCTGGCTTTGAACTCGTGATCCGCCTGCCTCAGCCTCCCGTGCTGCCACCGTGCCTGGCCTAACTCATTTTTGTGCCAAATGGAAGGAGTCATCTCTGGATGGCCAAAGCATGGTGGGCACTTCAGCTGACTGGGCCACCCCAGTGCCATGCGCTCTCGCATAACCAGGCAGCAAATTCAGCCCAGTCTTGTCCTTTGTAGCTGAGAGGCAGGTGGCAATGACACCCTAGAATTGTGAGAGGGGCTCGCTGGATGCAGAGGAAGCAGATGGCTTGATGAGAGACTGTGCTTTCAAGGCTGGCCCGAGGAGGAAGCGCTCTCTCAGGGCGTGTCCGTCTGTCTCAGGTCTTCTATTTTGTACTGAGGAAAGCTCACTTTCCATATCGAAATGCTGGGCTCCTTTTTCTGGCGACAGTCTCTAAAGAAGCAGGCGGATGGCTCAGGACCTGTTCCAGAGGGTGTGGTCAGGGAGGCACTGTCTCTTGACCTTTCACATGATGTCTCCCCGTGCAGCATCCAGAGCCTTTGCTTTTTTTCCACTGTTCTAGAAGCTGGGCTTCACGGCTCTGTCTCGCCTCAGCTGTGGTTTGGCAGGTCCAGCAAAGTTCCTTCCAGGTTTACGGGGTGTCTGGCACGCCCTGATCTCGGGCTGCCTGCGGCTCCTCTGCTTCCCTGCGTGGGCAGAATAAAGCAGAATATTCCTTACAAAGGAATCCGCTTGCGGGCGAGCACACCTTCTTGCCTAACGACTTTGCCCTCCAAATTTAGATTCAAGACAAACCCATTCTCATGGGCTGGGTGATTTTACTCTTGTCAATTTATAACGGTGTCTTTTTACATTGCACCAGAGATACTTAAGCTTGGAGAAGGGTGAAGATTATCTTTAATTAAACCCTCTATTTAAAATAAGATAATGCAGAGTGGTTGTGGGGGGAGGCT